CTGCCATGCATAAGTAGGTTAGGTCTTTCAAAGTATGCCTCGGCCTTTCTTCCTTCATCTCCACATGTGCCCTTTGTCCCTCAGCTCTAGGTTCACTTCATTCGATTGACCTGGATAGATGAACTCAAATCGAAACAGAAAAGCATGGCACAGAATGCCTTCACATGAAATGCAAGCCTCCGCAGACGCAGAGATTGAGAGTGTGGAGGGCCCGGTAGCTAGACAGACACCTGTGGACGCTGAGTGCAGGGGAGCAAACGGACCCAGAAGGAAACAAGTGAGCCAGCATTCTTTTCTTTGCTACCCCGCTAAAGGGTTAAGATGAGTTTCGTGCGGAGACAAAACTACATAGGACACACGGGGAACAGCAGTAGCTAGTGTGACCCGAACAGAATTATCATCTTGAAGCATTCTTTCAGTTCTTCGTCACGAAATCCCCTGTCCTCCCAATCAACTCTTACATGACAGAAGCCCTCAGACATTTTCAACCCTGCGTGTGGTCCAGGCATTCTCCCTTTCCTGAGGCCAATTTCTATCTAGCCATGCAGCCCATTTAAAAAAATCTAACTTATTACATTGTAGCTATCATGTTCCTTTAAGGAAAGAGAAACATTTTAAAGATAAGTAACTATGAGATGTGACACTCATCAGAAGACAAAAAATGCTTTCAGTCTTCCAAAAGATCGAGTAAAACACAGAGTGTTGTCTAGGACAATAATTATGTTCATTGTGTTTAAAAGACCTTATAGTCGATAAAAAAGGTGTTTCCCCCCCATCTTTATCATATTTTACTCTTATTTGACCAACATATATACATGCATACCAAATATCTTCTTTCAGAATCCTCTTTGATAATTTCATTTCGTTTCCAAAAGTTGGACAGCAAAATAACACAGTCCACGAGGACTGTACAAAAATCACACTGATGAAACAGTTGTAAAGGTCAGTATCTTCCAGCATTACTGATCACTCGTCCGTCGTGAAAAGACAGCTCCATCTCTGTAAGGATAATGCCCAGATGTAATTCCCCACAGAAGTAAGAGGTAGAGCTGGACCTAACAGCCAGTCCATCCTCCCACAACGTGAAAGGCTTCCTCCCTCCCTAACCAAGGCGAGGAGTCATCTTCCCTCTAAAACCATCGCATTTTCCAGAATGTCATAACTAACTACACTACTAGACAAACTATAACAACAACTTCCATTACTAGGCAATGTTTATCTGTTTTTGTTTTTCTGAATGAAAATTTTCTAATGGGGGATTTAATTTGATCATCACCACAAACCTGTGAAGAAGGAAGAATAAAAACTACCAACTATGCTGACTTGGAAATGAAAATAATAATATTTATATTCCCATTTTCATTATTAAACTCTAACATATGCTGTTGTTAAGTTACACTGGAGAGTCACACAGAGCATGGTTATTTTTCCAAGTATCGTCTTACTGATTTATCGTTTTAAGTTTTGGGTTTTTTTGATTTTTGTTGAAATGGAAATTTAGTCTGCCAATACATTTTTAATAATTTGAAGAAAGTACCTGTATCATTCTTGAAAAGAGCATTAAGTCTCTTGTGTCCCAGATGAATAGTTTTCTGATACACACTGAACCAACTGCCAACATGCTGTTTTGGAAAAGCTTACCACTCAATTCTATCACAAGCGTGTATAGGTCTCGTTGCTTATAAAACTTGAGAGTCAGAGCTTAAACGTGCCCTTGACTTACTTTGGAATTATTGGACTTCATGTCTCTGCTAAGATTGATGAGAACACATAATGAAAGTGGGGGGTTTACTACAGGCCCTTCTGGAGGGGAAAGGAACAGGGTAGGATATCTCTGGTGTTTCTAATTACATCAGAAAAATTTGGCAGCGTGATGTCCCTGAAGAGTCAAAAGGATTTAGATGGACTGTTTTTAATTAATTTTTAATCATAGTCTCAACAAAATAGTTTTATAGGTTCAAGAACCTTTTGAAAATGTCCTTCTGACCTGAATACTTCTTAAGATAAATTTCATGTTGGTTTTGTACATCTTACTTTAAAAAATAGTTTGAAATTAATTAGGATATCACCCTAAACTCTCAAATCACCCTTTAAAACTTGGATGAGGCCCAAGTCTGCCTCCTATTTCATGAATGGACACTTCTGCTGAGCTCTGGATACATATTATCTCAGTTGCTACTCACAAGAACCCTAAGAGGTAGGCGGCATTGGCCTGCTTTTGCAGAGGAGAAAAACTGAGATTCGGAGACACCCAGTAACTTGTCCGACCAAGAAATGTCACAGCAAGCCGGTTCTAATCAGGATGGACTCCAAATCCTACTGTGTATTCCAGCAGAGGGTTTTCTGAGAAGTTTTCATACTTTGTGGTCATTACGTGGCTGGGTGATGGCCCCAGAATATTCTTCACCTTGCAAATCTCAGTTACTCAGAAGCAAAATAGCTGGGAGGTGAGGAAGCATCCTTTTCCCATTCCTCGTGGGCGTATTCTCATCTCTACATATGTAAGGCAGAGAAAAGTTCTGAAGGAATAATCCTTCCCTCTGTCCCACTGATGAGCATTCTAATAAAAGTACTGATCAGAAAGGAGCCCAGAATCAACTTCCAAACTGAGATTGAGGGATTTTCCTTTGAACTGAACTGATGTTTCCAGTTTTCTTGGCTCTCCAATATACACCAGAGAGCTGACTTGATTTGGGTAGAAACATAAAAGGCAGGCAAAGATGTTGGCTTTATGGCTTCTAAGTGAAGTCAGGTTCCCATGTGACAGCACCATTGATTTAAATTAAGTGCTGTGTAGTCCTGGTGTAAAATGGCATTCCGCATTGTGAGAGGGTGATTCTATTAGCCGCATCTCTGCGAATGAGTTTCATGAGACAGAAGTGTGGCGGACAGAGTCATGTTGATTCCCGTCAATTCTATAGAGCAGCTCCCTGAGCCAGGAGACGCGCTTAGCTTTCCTGTGGCTTTGAAGACCTATATTAAATTTCATATTACAGGAACAACAAATGTATTATTCGAAGTGGCTTGACTCTACAGGAATATCAACTACTTCACAGGTAGAATACAAATATCATTCTCCCTTTTGATCTGAGTAAATAGTCCTAAACACTTTCTAGATCCTATTATGTGTACAAACTTTGCATGTCAAGGTTGAAGCGGCTGGCAGAGAAGTGTAAGTAAACGCATCCTTCTCCCATCAGTACACAGTGTTGCGAGCAGGAGGAAAAGGCCTTTATAACTCCTATTCCCCTAGTCCCTCAATCGAAGACCTTTTGAAAGAAAAGGCAATGTTAAAATAATCACCCCAGTGCTATGCTAAGGAAGTTCTATATTTGAGTTTCTTTGAATTATAGAGCTAGAAAGGGCCTCCCAGGATCGACAAGGTACCAGCTGCCACCCCAGACCACCACCACCACTTCCCAACCCACAGCCTTTGGTGGGAATTCACCTCTCTGGATGGAGGGTGCTCAGTGTGTGTCTGTGCTCCTACCCTGCCTTGCCCTGAATCTACTGACCCGCATGCCACTGACAACCCACTCTGCTTGTCATGTCTACAATTCCAACTAAAATCTCCCCTCATCATCAGTGTCCTTGGCAAGGGCGGGGTCATGGCCCCAAAGAGCAGACTTGGGAAAGCGATTCTTCTACCTTGTTTTCGTCCTGTATACCACGGGGGCCAGCACAGGGGCTCTGTGAGAACTGGAAATGACAAAAGTCTTAGCAGTGCTTTGGGCTGGCGGTGGTGGTCCTTATGGTGATATGAGCTATTCTTTGAGCACAGAGATCTTATAAAGCACCCCTTAACCTGCTTGGTATGGGGCCCCAATATTTCTTGTTCATCTAAAACCACTCCAGAAAAGAGCTTTGGCATCGCCATGTGTTGATATACGTAGGGTACAATGTTACAAAGCACTCTGATTGTACTTGACTATGGGCCCATGGTTATCCAATATGCAATAGTTCCTGCAAACTTGCAAAGAAACACTGATGCAGCCCTCAGTCCAGCTGAGCTCCGGAGGGGCTGCAGCAACCAGCAAGATCCACTCAGCAAGAGAATGAGTGTGGGGGTGGGGTGGGGGTGGGTGGATGCCAATCTCCTTGTTAGATCACAAGGATGTTGCAAAAGGCTTTTCAAAGGAAGGATTGATTGCTTGACCCGACTAGGACTTTATCTTAAGGTATCATAAGCTGCGAAGAACATGCAAAACTGCATATATATAAAAATATATATTGAAAACACAGAATTCCTGATGTGGAATTGGAGCAGGTCTAGTCTGAAAACCATGTGAATTTCACATCAAGTCAAGATAAGTCTAGGAAAGAAGCTTCCCCTTGGAGTTCAAGAAGAAATTCTTCTAGGACATCACGTAACAGCAACTGCACAGAAGGGTGGATGTGTCTGCTAAACTTATCACCAAAGAAGAACTGAATTTTATAAAGCGCCACTTCTTCCCTCTTGTCTTCTGCTTCTAGGGCAAGTATTAGACATCTATTGCTTTTCTGTTCCCCATGGGACATTTTATCAATTTACCCCTCACAGAATTTCAAAGGAAATAATAAGGGGTACAATCTAGCTCAAATTTGTCTTTTTGCCTGGATCACTGAAACCAATATATGTTTCTTCTGGTTGTTTTATTGACTTTGGTTTTGGGGTTTTCCCAAATTCTAGCATGTTTCTAAACCGAAAATGTGTGAATTCAGAAGCAAGTCAAGTGCAAGCTACAAAACACTAGTCGCTCTATACATTCAAAATTCCTTATTTGTCTTGCTTAAAGGAGAATTCCCCTGGAGTGAAAGTGCCTGGCGTAGTGAAGGCATTGAGCCACTTTTGACAGCATAGCTCACATACACCTGGGGCTGACCACTGAGAGAGAGGACAATTTACATTCCGTTTTGAATAGAGGATGCCACAAAATTTAAAGGGGAACCCAATAATCAGGTGGCCGGCTGTGAGTTAACTAACAAATGTTCGTAGAATTACGGCGAGTGGTCTTCCTTACATTACTCTGGTACTTATTGACCTCCATGGCGTGTTTGACTTCAGGTGGCTCCTTCATGTGGGCATAATCGGAAAGTCCCTTCTCAGTACCATGTTTCTGCTTGTAGGCAACCTTGAAAGGAAAAGGAGGGGGGGAAAGACTTGTCAGTTTTATTAAGATGCAGATTAAAATAGTACCTGTTTCTATAGCAGAGTCCTGCTCAAAAGAGGGGGGAATGAGGAACAAACTTTCAAATCTCCATGGAATCCAGATTTTTGGGAGCCAGGAAAGCTGGATGAGACCCCCAAACTACTGCCCTGAGATCATCTTCAAATTTTAAGCCAAAACCACGCCCCTAAAGTCTTCTTTGAAGTGATATATAGCTACCGTATATACTCGAGTATAAGCTGGTTTTTTTCAGCACATTTCTAATGCAGTTTTTGTTGTAAAATTAGGTGCCTTGGTGGATATTTGGGTCAGCTTATACTCGAGTATATGCGGTAATCTTAATCAAGAATGTAAATCAGCTTTGAGCACTGTGTACTTTAAAAAAAATTATTCATGTGAAATCAAAGTGACAATGATTGCTAAAAAGTTGAATGGGAAGGTAAAAGGATAGCAAGTTTAAGATAGAGGTGGTAGAATAATTTGGTTTTCTGTAAGGCACAATGGTGCTACAGCAGTGACCGTAAAATCTTGACTGCTAGCTGAAAGGTAGGTGGTTGTAACACACCAGTGAGTCCACTGGAGGAAAAGATGGGGCAGTCCGCTTCCCTAAAAACATGGCAGCATTCCCCAATATGGATGTGGTCATTCCCTGGGGGGTGCTGGAATGATTCAGCGAGCCTGCAACAGCAGATTCCTACACGTTAGCTGTAGTACATTTTTTAATTGGCAGGGGAATATTGAATAATGTTGGGGTTTTCTGAAAAAAGGGAGGGCACCCAATAAGTCTGGCAAACCGGGAGATACAGCTCTCAAGTCTCTGCGGGAAATTCATGGAGTCACTCCCTCTGAGTCAGAATAGCCTTGGTGGCGATGGATTTGGTCCCTTACTAGATCAAAAACAGAACTGTCCAGTTGAGGGAATCCTCAGAACTTGGAACCACGCCTAAGGGAAGATAACTTGGGATAGTAAGCCTTCCTAGTTCTAAAGTCTTGATAGAAATTTCTTCTGCAGCGTAAAGTGTCAGTGAATATTTGCTGTGCATGAATAAATGAATGAATGAAGAGCTGAACGAATACGAACAAAATGGTAATAAATACACAGTTTAGGGATGTGGATAGCCCTGGTATCAAACAGAGAGCACTGTAAAGACAATTATGGCCGAGGTAATAATATCTTATCATGTAATCTCCCTTTAGACTCACTTGAAAGCTGTTTCAATTTTTTTTAAGTGAAGGGGAGATACATGGGGATGAAGCCCCTGGTGAGTCCCCTCTGGCCATGGACCAAGGATGTGACTAGCCTAGCTAGCACAGAGAATGTATTAGAAAGTGGATGGCTGCAGATGCAGTTAGACTGCAGTTTAGCACCCTCTCTGTGGCTCTTCCTTACAATCCATTTAAATTTTCTCTTATTTTTAATATTTTCTGCTTTCTTTTAAATTGTGGTTTTGTTCTTGTTAGGTTTTGTTGTTATTGTTTGTTTTTTGTTTTTCTGCCTATGAAATTCAGGATAGGTAAATCTATAGAGACAGTAACTGGATAAATGGCTTCTTGGAGGTACGGCAGAGGAGTTTGGGGGTAAATAGGGAGCTAATAACAATGAGTATAAGATTGAAGAAAATATTCTAAAACTGTTTGTGGTGATGATTTTATAACTCTTCTTGATGTGATTGAGCTATTGAATTGTATGGTATGTAAATTTTATGCCAAAAATTGTTGGGGGGAAATAATAAAGTAAGAATAAATGAATGGATAAGTTATTTTTTTTAATTTGAGAAGTTTAATAAAATGCTTTTAAATGGGATTGGAATTACTTGGAACAAGATAACAAAGGCAGCTGAAAAAGAAAAAAAAACCCTAAAACTATCTTCCCTATGAAGAAAACAAAATATTAATGGGAAGAATGCAGTTACATGTAAAGAAAACCTTTTACCAATACGTTTTCCATGAGAGCAAGGTCTATATCTTGACCATCTTTTAATATCCTGTGCCTATTAGAGTGAAAGATACAGACTCAAAATGCAATACATTTCCGTGAAATATGATTAAGCGAATACTTTAAACAATCTCAGGAACTAAAACTCCTGATAGATGCTCACCAACAAAACTAACCACTCAGTTCAAGATTAAAGTGATCATTGTAAAACTAATTTAAAAAATAAAACAAAATAAATTCATCTTAAAGGTCCAAACAAGTCATCTAGTACAGTGGCCCAAGCTCACTGCCATCAAGTTCAATCTCACTTTAAGGAACAGACAGCCTCAGCGTTCTCTCATGGAGGGCAATGGAGTGGCCCCTGACTGATAGTAGTCTAATGACTATCCCACAGAGCCACGCCCCCTGGGCTCCTTTCTATCGTGTTAAGTCCCCTCTCTGGCTCCATTCCTAATGGACGAGGACTCAACTTGGGATCACAGTCTTAAAATTTTGAAAGTCTTCATAGAAAGTTCTTCCATTAATCAAGCCTGAATCTGCTCCCTGAATTAGCTGCATCTAATTGGCCATACAGAAGAAGCCTCATTCACAAGACAGAAATTCAAATGTGGGAACAAAACAGTCAATGACTTCCTCTTTCTCCACACAATGTGCATGAATGAAGGCACAGAACATCCACACACCAGCGATGTGCTCCTCGCCACAGTTCCACTTTCTCCAGCTACGCTGCCCACAGTGTTCCAGATAGGGCCTGAGCAATACGAATTAGAACTGGTGACTTAATTCAGGTATCGCCTTCTGTGTGCTAAATGCTATTACTGCACCCACAGGTCACAGCATTTTTCTATGGACGGCTACGTTGAGATCACTGCCAGTATTGCCCTTCCGTTTTGTTCAGTCTCGCGTAGGCACGTGGAGTATCTCACGTTCAGTCCTTGGGTATTTGGTGGAGGAGGACTCTAACGCAGCACCTCATCTCATCCAGGTGTGTTTCATGTTGTTAAAAAACCATGGTGGCCCAGTGGTTAAGGGCTCAGCTGCTAACCAAAGGGCTGGTCGTCTTTAACCCACAGCACTCTGTGGGAGAAAGAGGTAGCATTCTGGCTTAGAGCCTTAGGAACTGCTATGGGCAGCTCTGCATTACCCAATAGCGTCACTATTAGCAGGAATTGGCTCAATGCAATGACTTTCCACTTATCTTGTCAGCTAGATCTGTTCATCAATTTAATTCATCGGGATATCTTAATCCGATGAATATACTTTAGATTTTCACCAGTTAACTGTGTTAAATAAGAAATCAATTAAAAAACCCCATCCAGGCTAAGAACATCCATTATCTCCATTTCATTAAATTCGGTAACACTTGGGGGAAGGAGAGGAGTTCAACGCGTGGACGCAGTCTACAAAGTCAAGTATGAAAGTTATTGTGATTTCTTAATATATATATAAAAAGCTAACCTGTGTCTGTCTCCTTTGCTCGGGATCCTGATTCTATTTTGTATTCCGATGACCACAGTCATGACCATAAACAGAAGCAAAGCAGTGACCATTCTGTGGCTTATCACCTAAATGGTGAGTCATCAAGAACTTTTTTTTTTAAAGCACTCTTCCTTAAAAAGGTTAGGTAATTTTCTCCTTGCAGCATTAAAACAGCCATTTCATTTATAGCTATTTCTAAGTACCACTTTAGAACCCAGCTAACATCGAAAGGGAGGCAGCTGAACTTTAATTCATATTAATTTTCTCCCTTAAAACAACTAATGGAAAAGTATTTCCCATTAATAAATTCTCAGATAGTTTTGCTTTCTGAGGGTCGTCATTATTATGTGGCATTTCCCTAAATTAATACTGTTCTCGGCAGACTTTCCGAGTCACTGAATCATGAAGCACCTGACAGCGAAGACCACTTGCTATCGTTTCAGGTACTTTATACAGAAATGTTTATTTAAATCACTCACGCATTCACCTGATGTATTTGACCTTGTAGTGTTTTTTATAGTTTACATATACATATATAAGATGTACAGATAGTGTATTCCTAACATACAGATCAGATACCTGTGAGGCTCCTGAAAAAGTACCCTGGGGATACTGCAGATGAAAAACACAGACACTCACAAAGCTTCTGACTTCAGCTTTGGGTCTGAGGAGCCCACATAACTCATCATGGGGGAGATTATGTAGCCTACGGCTGAGAAGGAGCTGATGGCGCAGGCTGCCATCAGCTCACCCAGACTCACGGTGGTACCACGTGTGTCAGCGTAGACTGCATTCCATCCAGTTGCCAGTGGCTGACGTTTTAGAAGGGGATATGCCCGGGCCTTTCTTCTGAAGCACCTCTGGCCAATTCAAACTCCCCACCTTTGGGTTAGCAGCCATACACACTCACCATTAGCTCCATCCAGTGCATTTCACTTTTCAGAAGCTTTCTTTGGGACCTTTGTCTGTACAAATGTTTATACCAAAGGCTGTTTGATCATAAAATGGCCTAAGAACTCCATATTCCTTGTGGCATTTCTTCTTATGAGTTAGTTTCTACGAGGAAATATTAATCTATCAAACTACTCTAGCAGAATTCAATCTGAGTGGTTTCAAGATATTATATAACAATGTCAACAGTTTGGGACATTTTGCATTAGAACCTGGGACTCTACTAAATCCCAGAATTTGACTAACACAGTTACTTAAGTGGCCACACACCGATACTATTAGGAAACAGTAAAAGGAGAGTGGCTGCGTTATAACAGTCTGGCGAGAAGATCTACGGCTTTCTCGCGTCTTGTTATCAAGTATGGCGTCTTGGCGATGGAGTGGTTGCCAATTGGGTTGTCCACTCCACGGTCAGCGGTCGGAAACCACCAGCTTCTCCATGGGAAAAAGATGGGCTTCCTACGGCCCTGAAAGAGTGAACATCTCGGAAACACGCAGGGGCAGTTTCACCCTGTCCTAGGGTGGCCACGGTCACTAGGAGTCGGCACTGACTTGATGGCAATGAGCTGGGTTTGGGGAGTTTGTGTGTGTGTGCCTTTTTAATCTTATTAACAGATAAATTTCTGAGGAGTAAAATATTGTCAAAAATGACATTCATGTACATGACCTTAAAGCTTACTAAAACTATGTAAAGTATTAAAAGAGATACCCCGTACACAGTCCAGGTTTGTCTTTCCTGACGGTGCATATTCTCCTACAGTGTGACCATCCACGTTAACACTGGATTATCCTGTTCAAGCAGGGGGGAAAAATGATTTCAAGTTTTACAATGTGGGCTATTATTAAGAATTTCTATGTTGCACACACATATGAAAGTATACAATACAAATACACGTTTTGCTTTCTTTATTGCATAATCATTGCTTGTCACATATCAAATATTGCATTATAATTATTTGCTTTATGGAGCAGTTCATAAGGTCAGTGGTTTGGGTGACCAGATGTTGGCAGGAAAATTAAAGGGCATATTAGTCATGGTCAGCCATGCAGAACCTCAACATCCACATCATGTATTTTTGGCCTCATGTTACACTGCTGGGCTTCGCTTACTGCCAAACTGGGTACCGAATGGATGTATAAATTTGTAATGATCAAGTACTTAAAGATGCTCGCCAAAGCACAGCTAGGCTCAGTCTTTTCCAGAATGAGTCGTGGGTTTTCAGAAGGAGCTCTGGCGGCGGCACAGTGGAGAAGTGCTTGCCCGGTAACTGAAAGGTTGGTGGGTCAAACCCACCAGAAGTTCCACAGGGGAAGGATGCAGCAGACCATTTCGGGGAAAAGGTCCGCAGCCTTGAAACCCCTTTGAGGGATTTCTACTCTGCCCTACAGACTTGCTGAGTTGGAATCAACTTGAGGGTCATGAGTTTTTAATCAATTGCAGGCCCTCTAAATTATCTATTAAAAAGGAAAAGATTCCATAGGAAGAATCAGAATTGTCTGATAAGAAGAACCGACAAACAAACTCATTGTCATTGAGCAGATTATGACTCCGGGTGACCCGCTAGGACAAAGGAGAACTGCCCCTGTGGGTTTCTGAGCCTGTACCTCTTTACTGGAATAGAAAGCCTCACCTTTCTCTCACGGAGCAGCTGGTAGGTTTCAAACTGCTGACCTTTGGAGGGGTAGAATGTGTAAGGTGACGTTGGTATGTGCTGCTGTCCTCCTAGGGAAATATTACCTCCAAACTCCTATTTTTAAAAGGGGTTCACGTGATGAGAATCAGTAGGTTCTTCTGCAAGGTATGGTCATGAGAATCGCTGCATCCACTTGTTGGGCAGCCAGAGCCCACAGGAGAGGAATTTCCAGAACACAGACCCATCGATTTTGATTTCAACCATCAGTTCACTATGTGACTGCTACCCAGCTACTGAAACCTTCTCTACTTGGGGATCACAAGTCCAACCTGAAGACTGCCTCCTGCTCGCTCGAGGTAAACCGTGAAAAGGAGATTGAAGCGTGCTCCCTAGCAAGACCGTGCCCAAAGGGAAACCAGCGCTAATGGGGACAAAGGCTTTTCAGGCTCTTTTCATTCTGTGGGATTCCACCAGAGATGTTCCTCAGCACATGAGCTAATTGTTGTCAACTTTCACTCAGTATTTTTAAAAGACAACAACAAGATAGACAACTTCTTCTAAACATCTAAACCGTTCATACTGGGCCATACGTTTGAGTTCCTTCAGGATAACTGTACCTCGCTCTGAAGCTGTGTGACTTCTCTGGCAAAGACACTGTCGATAGTGGCCGGCATCTGCTTATACAGAGAGTTGGAAAGGTCGGCCTTCGTGGTGCCTTTGTATCTGGCCTGGGGGGAAGAAAGAAGTGGAGAGAGAGAAAATTAAATACTCCTCATTTCTTTTACTGTGAAGAACAGAGTAAAACAGAAACTTTCTCCAGAAACAGATTCAAACAGCTCAATATCCTCTCAGAGACTGGGTGTGACCGGCCCATTCTGGAGAGAGAGAGAATAAATGTAAATCGTCGTGGAGAATGATTTAAATGACCCAAGTGATAAAGTAATGACTGCTTTCCATTGAAACCCATGCAGACATCTGGAAGAAAGTCATTTTGCACTTGAAGAGAACTGCCTCTGTTTGGTCAACAAACAAAAGATCTGAGCACCGTGCAACCTCTGCCATGCTGGAGAAAATCACAGCATTTGCACTGACTGTCCAGAGCCTGAGTACGAAGGGTTTTTGACGATGCTGGTAGAAAGAAGTGCTGTCATCCTGACCACCAATTGCAGACTGGACCAGCATGATCTACGGTGTTTTCACCAGCTGGTTTTTTAAAGTAAAATCGCCATGCCTTTCTTTCTAGTCTGTCTTAGCCAGAAGCTCGGTTGAAGTCTATTGAGCATCATAGTAATGAACAATCCTCCACTGAGGAGCCCTGACCAGGGACAGAAGGCAGGTCTTCCGACGGGGGGTGAGGGCCCACCACGGCCCACACGCCAGGGGTAATAACGGAGGAGCCTTTTACTGAGTCTGCCCATTCTCCAGAGATCTCACTCACTGCTCAGAGAGAGACACAGCTTTTCGCCACTTCTTCTTTGGGATATTAGGTTCCAAGGAACACAACAGATTGCTCACTTTGTGTGTGTGTGAACGTGCACACACACACACACAAGCACTCTATAGTTCGCTCTTTCAGGAAAAAGCATCGAGGAATAATTGAAAACACAAACTTCCTCTGGGCCTGAGATACAGAGAGCTGGGACGTAATAAGCAATACTCTATCTTTTCACACTGTTGATAAACCCTTACTGTGACTCCAAGCATTGGCGCCGATTCAGTGAGCACACACTCTGTGTGTCCACAATGTTCTCTGAATTCTATTAGTTAATTGCTGCCACCAATCTCCCACACTTTTCCCCTTAGATTAGCAGAGATCATCTGCAGGAGATCAAGTTGAGCTTCTCACACCATAACTTAGGGAACACTAGAGGTCAGTCATTTACAACTATTTCATTCATTCTCTTTCCAAGCTAATCTCTTCTAAATGATCTCGTCACAGACCACAGTGAGGCATCTTCAAAGATTTTTGAGCTTCAAGATGCAACATAAACTGCGATCCAAGGAGCCTCTCAGAGAGAGATAACATAATTTTTCAGCTAGGAAAAAAAAAGTACAGCCTCGTGCATTTCTCACTGCATAATCATTGGAGCTCTATCTGCGGCTGCGCTTTATCCTCTTCAAAAATGCTCTCCACGGATGGAAAATTACTTACCAGAGACACATTTACGTTTTATTTATTTTCAAAGTGCTGATATCTAATAGTTCCTATCGAATGAGTCTGTTGAGAAAGAAAATAATGGAATGGCTAACCCTAACTCTGTTTCCAGTGCTTTCTGTATAATTATATAACAGCCTTCCTTTTCAAAAGTACTTCTGTTAAAATAAAGAGTTGGAGTCTAAACAGAGACTTATTTAATAAACTAGATCAACCATATATGGAACAAACCGTATCTATTTCTACCTTAGTTCATTGGCATCAGGAATAGAAGAGTCTTGGGCTTAAAACTGCTAAAGCCAGTGTGGTAAGCACTTACTGATTGTTATTCAGGTCTTTTCAATGTTTCTTACAGCACTGGGCACACAGCACGCCTTGCTGTTAGCCAAGGCTGCACACGAATCCACGGGGAACTCAAAATAATACTGGTAGGCTGAGGCTCCACCCAGATGACTGAAATCGGTACTTCGGGGATACAAGGCTTGGTCACCCACCGGTGTTTCTTAAAAAGCTCCCCAAATAATTCTGATCCAGCCAGAGTAGAAGATCATCCTAAATAAGTAAGTGGGGATGGGGGAAGGAAAGAGAAAACGGCGCGCCAGGCTCTGCCAGCACTTCCCTTCCGCGGACCAATTCTGATCTAACCTTGAACCTTGCCTGACTCTCAGGATTCATTTCCTATGCCAAATGATTGGAGTCTTACTTGAAGACGCGCTTTTTGAGAAATTTCAGCCGGAAACAGAGAGATTAGTGGAGGAGGGGGGTGGGTTGTTGAGGCCCCCCCTTAAAAGTTGTCATGTTTTCCTGTAGACTTGTACGGTGTTTTATTACATATTATATAGGTTATATAAAGGAATTTGTGATCAATATATATTTTCCTACATGTTTGGGAAGACTAAAGAAAGGCTTAAAACTTAGTTGGAATCACATGAAAGCAATCATTTCTAGATGGTTTGACTACTAACAAACAGGCTCATCAAGCACCAGAAAGCAGGAGGGTTCTCGATAGAGAAATGAGAAGAAGCGCATTGAAAGCATCACTTTTCTTCAGGGGGGGTCTAGCCAGAAAGAAATGGTTAATATATGCAGGATGAAAAGAACACCTTTTAAATAAATTCAGCTTATTTTTATGGATCACAATGGAAAATAAAAATGAATAGGATATAATATCAATAACGAGTTCATAACATTATCAAAATTTTAGATATAGATGTATCTAAAACAGGTACATCTAAGTAAAATAAGATAAATATATATAAGTAGATATATCCAAAATGGATCTCAGATGTGGACACAGCTAAAATATTCCATGCTAACACTTTGTGCCTTGCTTTGTGATGTGTTTGTTGCCAGTAAAAGGCACTATGAAACATCACCCAATTTCCCCAGCATTTAAGAATAAAATGAACTATGTCCTTAATGACTGCATCAACTACATAGTTAGCAAATGAAAAGTACTGACTTACTTAAATATGATTATTATTTTATAAAATAATGAAAATATTGTCTAGACATTTATTGGAAGTGCCAATACTTGCATTATGAATGCTAATACCTTTCTAGCTCAATGAAAGCTCCTAATATGCTCTTCAAGTGAAAAGTTACAGAAATTCAATCCAACATTTCTTGGTTCCATCAAGAACACTGTTCCCCAACTTCAGTGCATGCGCATTTAGTTACCTATACGAAAAAGACAGAAAACTCCAGTCATTTTGTTAAGTTTCTGGTACGTTACCTCAGAAATGAATGCGCCAATACTTTTCACATGGTTTAGCATCGGAGTATCCGTCACAAATGTGCACTTGTCCTTTGATTTTTTATATTCTTCTTTATAATGGATCTTAAAGGGAGAATGGTTTACATAAGGAGAGAAAGAAGAAAAATCATCTTAAGGGGCTTACATTGAACAGAGCATTGAAGTCGATGGCATCGATTTTCTGGAACATATCTCAAATAGAGAGCTGTCCTCAGAAGAAGTCAACTCAAGTAAAGTGACACCCAGGACAGAATTGCAAAGTGGATGCAGCAGATCAAAGGACCACTCTTCTTTGGATAACTAGGGGAGCAGTTAGCTTTGGGGGTCAGCAGTAGGTATAGTGGGAGCATGGTGACCATCGTGCCTGGTTGGTCCAGCTTGCCCAGATACATTGGTAACCACACTCTCCGTGATTCAAACCTCTATCTTAGTTTATTGCTATTTTTAAGCCCCTGCCTTAAACTGTCAAGCCTATCATCACATGGATATGCTCTCAAGACATAAAGCAAGACGCCCGCCAGGAGAGAAGCAGCCGATTAAGAAGTCAAGTGACAAATGAAGGTGGATATTAGCATGATTACCTTCCCACACCAGACCAGAGGGAGGCTTAAATGGTAGCCCTGGTGGACTTGCTATGACTAGCTGCTGCTTTGTCAGCTGTCCTGAAGTCACCCCCCTCACAGGGCCATCCCCATGACGGTCCCAAGCTTAGCCACGGTGAGTCACAGGGTTGTCATTGGCTGAGGTTTGGAAGTGAAATGCCAGGCCTTGCTCTCGAGTCCCTCTTGGCCTGAAAGCCCTGCGGAAGGAGCCCTCTTCCAAATGACGGCCACAGCAAGCCTTCACTGACAGACGGGAGTCGGGGGGTGGGAGGGGTGGCACATGGGGCCGGGTTTCCCACAGTGAGGGCAAGCAGTCTTCCACCGAAGCAGTAATGCCCTCTCTCACGCATCTCTGTTGTTAGTCCTACCTGACAGAGTAGGACAGCTCACAGGGTCTTCTGGGTCATCATCATGAAGAGAACCCATCGCCAACTCTTGCTCCCAGGGAGCCCACGAGGGTAGGTTTGAACCAGAAACTTTCCCGTGCGTAGCTCCAGGCTGCTGCTAACATTAATTCCCCCAGATCAGACACACTCAATTGATAGCCACGAAAAACTTAATACAGTACGACCCAGGGCCACGAACTCCATGCCAACACCCAGCCACCCTGTAGGACAGAGTGGGACTGCTCCTTTTGGGCTTCAGTGATGACAAATCTTTACAGGGGCAGACGGCCTCGTCTTCCTCCTGTGGCTGGTGACCTATCTCACTCAGTTACCAGGCTCCTCGTGGATGTGAAGGCGCCTCCCAGGCTCCGTGTTTGCCCCCGCCCAGAAAGTGAGCCTTGGAAAGGTGAGTGGAAGGCTATCTCTCTCTGTGGGCATACAGATCAACAAGTGAAAGCTGGAACACTGCGTCCAGCCTGCTCATTTCTCCTCTCTGATTCATCAGTATAAGTCACCCCTGCCCCCTTGGGAATGGGGAGAGGCAAGAAGGGTTATTGTGGGCAGGTCCCCCAGGGACAAGTGAGCCCCAAAGAAGTCAGCAGCTATGGTCAAGGGTCCCAAACACAATCTCACTTGGATGCTAATTGCTCAAAACTGGGGAAGCAAAACTTAGGACTGAGAAGTTGGGAGGACGCAGATGAAATGTAGGACTAGTTGGGAGGATGAAGGTAATTTGCTGAAAGTTATACCACCCTGTAACAACGTCATGTTTACCCAACCAAGACTGTAAATACGTCCATTGAAATAAAAGTGTCCCCGTTCGGATGATAAATTATACACTTTCCCTAATTATAACCCAAGAGTGAAGCTTAGCTGTACGCACTACCTGGGTTTAAAAAAAAAAAAAGCTGACTAATATTGATGTGACACACTAGCATTAGACGTTTTCACCATAAGCAAATGCCACTTGAAGAGTGTCATTTTGACCTGAGGTTCAGCCAGATATGAACATTCTAAGTAAAATTATGTCAAAATACCATTGTTTCACTGCTGTGGCGCTCAGATATTAAATGTCTACCACAATTAACATTGGCTTTATTCATGAAATCAACATTAGAACATATTTATCTTATCTGAGCAGTAAGTTACTTTTTTTCCCCTTCTCAGAGATTAACCATAATTTCAGGTTTCTGCAAATCACCCTCCTCAGTCACTAGTAATTAAACCGTTAATGGCAGTATGATAAATAGCAGGCTATTTTGATCATAGGGAGAGGGGAAAAAAATATGTCCGTTATATAATTAAGTGTGAGGGAAAATAACCTATCATTAGGCTTAAGTTTGGCTCATTATTTTTATCTTTTGCCACCATCTCTTCCCCATCACACTCACATTCTTCCCTGCTGTGGTATGTACTTAGGGCTACAGGCCTCCGATAAGCCCTGACATAAGCAGGGTGTTCCCAACGGAGCCCTGGATAAGGCTGAAGTATTTACTTCCTTTGCTACACAGGCAAATACTTCAGGCATAAATGAGGCCTCCGTTTCTTTCTTGGGTCTCATTTCAAACACAAATGAGAACGTACACACGTGTGTGTGTGGGGCGAGGGTGGAGGAGGGAGGGTGATGGTATGATCCCAAGTCAGGATTGAAGGTGGAGCAGAAAGAAAGTTATACCATATGGAAGGCAACCAGAAAATGAGATTACGTTTTATACAACTACTGGGAGCCTAAAATCAGAAGGCTTCCCACACCAAAATCAGAGGGAACGAAAGTCTGAGTGACACAAACTCACAAATAAAACACAATCACCTAGCAACAGCCAACACCGCGGTACCTATCATGTCAATTCCAGCTCCAGGGGCCCCCACACGTTTCAGAGTAGGATGGTACCCCCTTAGAGTTTTCCATGGCTGGTTTTCCAGCACTAGATGGCCAGGCCTTTCTTCCAGGGTACCTCTGCGTTATTGGCTGCATTATTGATCCATCTACACAGTACAGCCTCAGATAAGCACCGTCTATTGGCTACATTATCGACCCGTCTACACCATATAGTTTCAGGTAAGCACTGTCTATTGGCTACATTATTGATCCGTCTACACCGTACAGCCTCAGGTAAGCACTGTCTATTAGCTGCATTATTGATCCAACACCTTCTTTCCTGCTAATGGAACATGAGGGGTGCCTGAGAGCATTTGATCTCAGGGTGGCCAGGTGTAGACTGCAGCATCAGAGATACATTGGTCTAGAACAACAGTTCTCAACCTGTGGGTCATGACCCCTTTGGGGTTGGAACGACCCTTTCACAGGGGTTGCCTGATTCATCACAGTAGCAAAATGACAGTGATGAAGTAGCAACAAAAATAATTTTTAGGGTTGGGAGTCACCACCACATGGGGAACTGTATGAAAGGGTCGTGGCATAAGGAAGGTTGAGAACCACTGCTCTAGACCAATCAGGGTTCATCTCATTCTCCTTGGTAATTGGTCTGGGATGTCTGGTGCCCAATTCTGGCCATAAGACATTGGTGGAAGTCTTCTCGCAGTGTTGCCGTGAAGAGAGAGGCTTTGCTAGCCCAGTGCCCTTCTCCTTTGCTCTTCTGCCCCCTGCCCCCACCACCCCTTCCTGCCCCAACCACAGAGGTGTTCGATCTTAAGTCATCAGCGAAGGTGGAGCAGGGAGAAAGGAGCTGGTGAGACGGCTAACATCCAGGACTGAGCCCACCACCTCCAAGCTTCTTACGTGAACAAAGGAACTGAAGAGCAACATGCGACACCACTGCATCGGGGATTCCCCATCACTTCCAGCATCTGCATTCACACCCACTGGCTTTCAGATTGAAATTTCAAGAAGACCACGTTCACGACTTTAGGGTTATTAAATGCACACACACACACACACACCCAAAGGGTTGCTTTCTCCTTTGACCAGATCTCCAATGGTGCCATGCTCCAAGTACACTTCGTTCAGTTGTGCCGCCTGCTCCTGGACTCGGTGCTTGAACAGGGCACAGTCGGCTCGTGGCTGACCTTGCCCAATAGAAGGAAGAGTTTGGGACTATTTCCTTTACAAATCTTCTTGGCCGCAAGCACCTAGACCGTCTTGCCACAAACAAAAGCATACCGGTTGAACGTGGCAAGCCCTGGCTGACAGGATGTTGGGTCCATCACTGTGGATTAACAGGGTTGTTATTGTGGACGTTGTGTGCCGGCCATTCAACCCAACTCAGAGGGTCTCCGGAGGACACTCCCGTGAATAGGACAGCGCAGCCACATAGGGTGTCCTGGCTGCACTCCCCACAGGGGCCAATCTCTCTTCTGCAGAATGCTAGGGAGGTTACCGCATGCTCCCAGGTCTCCTTGGGGGGTCCTAGGGTCTCTAACACCAGTCAGGGCTTTTTCTGGAGGGGCACCCACAGAAAGAAATGTTTTCAGCACTGGACTGCTTCACCTACCACAAGCAATGTTCATTTGCCTAGAAAATGTTCTCTTTTTTTGCTGTCAGGCATATAAACACCCCCGAAAGGTTCGAACCAAAATATTGAGTCAGAAGCTGCACGCACACGCAGTCAAACTTGCTCTGCATAAAAGGCCGTGGTGACTAATTTGCAGGAAACACATAAAAGACGTACTGCTCCCTATGTGCAGCTACAGAGACTGTGACCATCTGGTAGAAGGCTACTAGAGCCACGGTTCCGGTTGCTCAATAAAGTCAGTAGGCTTGATCTCATTGGATTCACTGAATTGAGGTTTGACAAGCAGTACTGTCAGTGAGAGGACATTTAGGGACATAAAGAGCTGCACTTGGTTGATGGGGGGGAAAAGTTAATTAAATGAGGCCGCCCCAGAGAAACAAAGTCTTTCAACAGTGTGAAAGGAGTTGTGCAAAGATGGGGGTGGGGGTGGGGGTGTAGGTCAATGTAAAGAATAAATTAGGTGAGACACACACACCCCAAAACAAAGCAAAATGACACAAAAGAAAAGTATCTGATCCTGACCCCCAAGTCAGTCACTTAATCTGAAAAATTGACATTTGTCTCTGCGGAGAATTCTAAGCACGGCAGCCCTCTGAGGACTGATCACTATCTAGGCTAACCTT